AAAGGTAGGAAGGTTTCATTTGTAAATACTTCAAAAAGAACAAAGTTGTAATTGTGTTTTCATACTCATTAATATTTTCCAACACATCGATAAAAAGTTAAATATTAAAGCATATACATCAAAATAAATTCATTATATTTTGAATAATGTTAAATTGGGTTACTGGAAAATCATATATTCACGACTGGAGAATCATATATTGATCGACTTGTTTTATCCATTAGTATCAGTTTTTGTGACCCGCTTTGTCTTTGGACAAAAAAACACCGTCCAAAATTTCTTGCTTCAGACAAACTTATGATTGAAGTGACACACACCTCCGACAGACTTAATTATATGCAATGATGATAATTAGTTTTAAAACACACGTCGTATATTTTACGGGCATATTAGTGCGTTTCAAGGTCGTTAGTTGACGGATGGATGGCCAATAAGTGGGAATAAATTTTACTTAACAGGTTCCTTTGAAAACACGTTCTTTTACAGAGCGCGATTTGACAATTTAAATTTATTATAGACGCAAATTCGCAATAAAACACAATTTTAATACAATCTCCATAAAATCCAATCTGACAAGGCCGAAAAACTGTAGACGAAAGAGAAAAATGATCAATTTTCTCGCTTATCGCACACCAAACAGCACAGCTATGATTTAAGATTATTTCAGTCGTCCCGTTTAATTTTCCTTTTTGTCCTTATTAACGCTCCGTCACTCGCGCTGTTGGAGAGAAGCAAATAGTTCTTTCATTTCTGGCTAAGAAAGTAATGATCGCTTTCTGAGGAGTAAGACCACCATATTTGTCCTCACGACGTCGAGACATATTAAAAACATCGGTGTAATACACTGTGCGGAATTGTATGCGATGGAAGACTCCCTCGGTTGCAGTCAATTTCTTTCTGGTTAATTTGTTGGAATTATTGATTATTGGTTCCGGGAGCGTTAAGTGCCAAGATCATTAGTGCAGGGGTGAGCAGCGTGATTTCATCCCTGAAGACGGCGGTGATCTTCCCCGGTGGATGGCGAGATCCGGCGACAACCTGTCTCATCTGTCGACCGATCTCTCGGCATGTGTGGTAGTGTAGTGCACGTTAGTGTGTGTAATACAGGAGTGAGGATAGAACAAGGAAGAGAAAGGAAAGATCGGGTGCGGTCCCTGGCCCGTTTGTTAGTGTACTACTCCGGTATTAGTCTAGGGTTGACCAGAGAAACCACAAAAAATTACCGATCAGAGTAGCGGGCCTCTAGAAGTCTCCTCCAGACAGCGAGTGAATTCGAACTGACAAACTAGTGCCGAAAATCGGGCCTCAGTCGGAAGCGTTCCCGGTCAAAGCCATTGCAGTGGTATCCGTTGGGGTCCTCAGTCACCTCTGCTGCTTCTTTCTTTAACAGAATGATGTTGTTTGATGTGTGTCACATCGTAAATCCAGTTGTATATGTCAGCAATGACTCATTGCGGAAGAAGAGGAAGCCCGTGTGAAGCATTTGACTTCCGGATTGGTGCTAATATCAGCGATAAAATGAAATTATTTTGGTAAATCTTCACTGAAAGAGTGCCTGCGTCCCTTTCACCTCATTGTAAAAAAGTATCATTACAGATGAACAAAAGTCACTGTATTTTGGAAGTTAACAGTAAATTTATTTTTAGAACCTTCTCACAACGTTATTTCTATTAAGTAAAATGAACAAGGAACATGAAAATGAGTCTTAAATTTGGGCTAAATTAGGACCTATTTGTTTAACACAGAAGACACAAATGGAAACGTCACTTGAGCGTGGTCTATTTAACGAGCATAGCTAATTTTTAACTAAATTTGAAAAGCGGATGCAAGTAATGGCGGCCGTCCCTGCATCGACCGGAGCGTGTGACAGAGCTCCTCGCCCCGCTGTTGCAACGCGGCGTCGGAGCGAGAGGTGGTTATCTAGAGATCGGTTGCCCCACCGCGCACGTTCACCAACCACCCACCCACCCACACACGCCCGCGCTCGCCCTAGCGCCTGCAAAGCCTCACGCTCCAACAGAGCGCTGGCTCGCAAATCACCTTCACTCAGCGCCGCCCTTTCCACAATAAAATGACAATCTAGTGACGTATTTTTATTGACTTAAAGCCAAGAAATGGTTAAATCCGCGGTCTTTTGTGATTGGTGATTCCCGGCGCGCCAACGTCTAACGTCATTAATCCCGTAAGTGTAGTGCTTACTTTCCTGGAGCGTTCCCCGCTGGATGGCGAGATCCGGCTCCGACCTACTGCCGGTTAAGAGGTTTTCCCTCAACCAAATATCTCCCATTAGTGGGCCATCGCCCTAACATGTGCGGAAGTGTAGTGCATGTGTGTGTGTATAAGTAAGGGGTGTGGAGAGGACCAGGAAGAGTATTGAAAGATCGTCCGCCGTCCGTTTGTTAAGGCGCTGCGCCGGCATTCGCCTGGTATTGATCGGAGAAACCACGGGAAACTGCTAATGAGAGCAACGGGCCGTTCGAATCCTCCTCCAGACCGAATCGACGTAGCGAGGGTGGAAAACTCCGCCAATGGCGGTAGTGCAACCTTAGGGTCTCCCGGTCAGAAGCATTGCAGTGTTCTCCTGAGCCACCTCGCCCGGTCGCACTCCGGGGAGAAGTGCAATCTGTACAGGTTTCTCTAAGCCTCTCCCCCACCCGAACTCATATTAAGTTGAATTATTAATACCGAAGCAACCAGCGTTTGTGGCAAACAATCGAAAAGAATTAATCCCCCCCCTTTTTTTTAAAAAAAAGGGCAAATTAGCTACAGATTTTGGCGATTACTCCTTTACTTCCTTGGACTTACTGCATCGACAACATGGAGAACGATTCCCTCCCTCCTAAGCCCAGGAAAACGTGCTGAGGTAACGGAGCTACGTTTATGCAAAGAAACAAAACAAAGGACCGTCTCACCAGTTGATCAATCGATAAATGGAAACTGCGAGAAAAAAATCATCGAGGTGGAATGAATTGACCTCGAAGTTGAAGTTCAATACTTGTTCTCATAGAAACAATACTCTTCAATGCTCCTTTCTTATAGAGACAGTTTAATTCGCGGGGCGTGTTCCCCGCCTCACAACTCTAACGCTCGTTATGAACAGGCACCTATGTTTTTTGCAAAATTCTACGTTAATAGCAGGTTTATCATCTATGTTTTTGTTTGACAAGGCAATTATATTATTTAATAAAATATTTAACGCATCAAATCAAAGAAAGAAATTAATTATAACTGTCCATAATTATCCTAGATCCTAGTAACTTTATAAACAACTATATTAATATTACATTTCAAACTACAAGTGCAACAGAATGGCACAAACTTTCCCGTATTAGTTTTCTATTTACTTTGGTCTCGGCTAGCTGTACGAATTTGCCACATACTCTTCCAGCTGTCATCTATCGTCGCCCAAAATACATTTTTTTAAACATTTTCTTAATTTTTCGGGTTCCTAATAGTAAAATGGAAATACTAATTTAAGAACATTAAACATCAGTAAAACATCTCCCTAAATGGCGATTTTCTTCCAACAATTTCGAATCGTTGTTAAGAAAATGGCATTTAACCGCTTAAGTTATTTTACACAGACATTTTTGAGTTTTCGAAAACATCAATAGAAGTCGTTACTTTAATTTATTATTTAAAAAAACATTAGAGTAATTTTTGAAAAAACAAAAAATACCCGGAAGTCATACTAAAAAGTGCAAAAACACAATTCATTCGAAAATTTTGAAGAAAAAATGAGGAGCCTTTTATGAGAAAATGGCTTCTGAGCGTTTCTGAAAATGCGGACGAATGAGCTAGTTTTCACAGAAAATGGTTGAGTTTTTGAGAAACTGGAATTATTTAAAGCACACGTACTCAAAAACCCAATAATGTTGACAAATTGCCGCTAGTATAAATATTAACGACATGAGTGACAAGTCAGAAAAAATGCATTTTTGTAATTAAAAAAAAACTCAGAAGAATAGAACAATATTGCGTTTATGTCGTCTTGAAAAGTAATTTAGCACTGCCCCTATCAAATGTTTAAACCAAAAAGTTGGAGCCGTGATTGAGAATATTTTTTTTTTTTAATTTCTTTGTTTTTAAATTGCACATATTAATCGTAATAGCGCAAAAACTGCTAAAATTTACAAAAAAAGGAAAAATGTCTATCTTCAATTTTGTGGTTGTAGAAAGACGCTGAAAAACATTTAAATTTTCGAAAATTCAGCGTTAACAGTGAAAATTGGACGTTGTCTATAGCTGTATTCTCTATTCTAACAAGAAATTTAAAGATAAAATTTGGTGGCATTTTGGTGAAATTGTTCTTCAAAATCTCTCAGCTTCGTCTCGAGCCAGATGGATTGGGGTTTCTTCAATTTGGAAAAAGAATCCTACGCATCGTTTAGCCGCTATAGGTGTTCACAGACCGACGGACAGACGGACGGCCAGACGGACGTTCTGAAGAAAACAGGTATCAGGTGACCACAAAACGTGTATTCTCTAAATCCATTTTCCGTAGCATTACACTTTCTATATAGAACGTATATAGACTACGTATATACAACGTACACTACGTAGATGCTATATACGTACGTATACGGGAAAATAAAAATTAATAAAAAGAAGGGTTTTTCCAGTACCAACTCTATTAATAATTACAATTAAACAGCCTAGAGCTGTTTTTACATTCTATTTTACAGATATTCCTGGTTCAATTAAAAATACTTAATATCTAACGTTCACAAAGTATTCTCTTCAACTAAAAAAATAATTGTTTCAGAGTCAAATGTAAAAATATAACCCCCATAGAAAGAAGGAATGTTGTATGTAAAATTACCTGACGCTGATAAATGCAAATGGTGTACATCGGAACTACAACAACATCGTACAACTTTTTGAAAAGCATTTTGTGTGGTTTTGTTCAGCAGCAATTTTGCAGCTGCATTCTACCGGTATCACAATAATGTCTACTTGAGAACGAACGCTGTATGTCTGAGCAACGCGGTCGTTTGCAGGAGGCGCTGTCGGTGTTGGTGGCAGCGTGGGTGCTAGCGGCGGCGACGGCAGCGCCATCTACTTCCTCCACAGCTGCCACAACGTTCGTCCACCAGAGCACGTCAGACTCGCTCTCCGTCGCAGCAGCTGCCGCAAAACAGAGGTGAGGATGCTCTCTAGCGGCTGCCTTGGAAACTCAGGCTGGTTGTGGCTGATGCCGCTTGGGGCGGTGCAGTCCAGTATTTTAGGCAAACATGTTCAATTCAGAGAATATACTCCCACATTCAAATCCAGTAATTACAATGAATTAACAATATTAGATATGCTGGTGGCGAATGATGTTGTAGCATTTGTTTATGACGAGATCTCTTCCATATATTGTTGAACAGGAACGTACATTAATTTAGATGCGGAGGACGCCCCCCTTTCTACCTCTGCCGTGCACAAACATTTGCCGTTCAAAAACATTTGAATCCTTCTTGAACTATAAGTCTCATTATGAATATTTTCCCTTCTAGAAAAATTGGGTTTCGTGGAAATATATATACCTCACTTTTAAATTAGGTCCTAAATTGTACCTTACGTTTCTTGGATAGCGTTTTCTTCGCTATGCACAGGAAAAAAAAAATTCATTTTTACGTTGAATTTCATTAACAGTTCATTTTACTGTTTCATATCCGTAGTATACAGAAAGTTACGAAATGTTGCGGAAAATAGATATCGAGATTTTAACGAAACTTCACGTTTTAGTCTCCTGATAAAGAAAAGGTGTTTTTTGAACACGATCCGTGCATTCGCTTGCCGTCCGTCCTTCGTTTACGAAAAAGTTTCTTTTCTAAACGTCCGTCCGTATTCAGTCATAAAATGATTCATATTTTATGGTCATTAAGGTTTTTAAAAACAATTTAAATACACATGGTGGATGTTACGGTATACAACATGAAGTTCTAATTGTATTAAGGATAAATGTCCCGACACTAGTACAATTTGTAGCCACCACGTAGCAGCAGCAAAATAAGTAAAATTTACTTTACAGATAACGTCTGAACCAATGGTTCGATATTCGATCTGTAATCGGCATTTGACGCCTTTTTAAAATAGAATTTACGCTACGATGACCTTTATCCAAAAATCTAACAAAAGCGCGAATTGGAAATTAGTTCTCAAACTTCCGAGAACAAATTTAAAAATGTGGCTTTATAGTGCGATGGTGACATGCTTCCTGAATCTAACGCCGTGACAATCAAACATATCGAACGAATAGGAGCGTCGTAAAGTGAAATTTACGAAAACACCTCGCCCCCCCCCATAACTCTTCTGCGCCGTTGCGTCACCCACCCGCCCGTTGTGGGCCCTCTGTCAGCGCGGTGGCACGGCCAGGGCCGGCGGTTTAAGCGGTGCTACGTCTAAGATAATTTCTAGCTCTGCAAATAATTCAGCAATTAAAAAATAACAGTATCCTTTTTTAGCTTTATGGGTACTTTTTTAGCTTTATGGCCTGCGATGACGCAGTTATCCTCGAATTAACAAATAACGGAGTTGACACCCTCATGATCATCTTTTTCTCCTCTACTCCAAGGATAGGTTCATGACCTGTTATGACTTCTTCCAATTTCATTTCTATAACGATCTGCCTCTGTGTCTTCTACCTCGCGTTCTACACATAAACGCTTGCTTTAGAATGCGTGTAGAATGCGTGTATAGAAGTCAGAAAGATAGTATTTGTCATTTATTGCTTGAACAATTTATTTTCATCTTATTTCGTGTCGCGCTTCTGGCCTTTAGTCCTATGGCGAGAGAGACCAATCGCATAGTCGAGGCTTGCGAGCACAACCGTGGACAAATGAGCATCAGCACGAAGATTACATGCGTTATCGAATCCCGCCAAGCGATTTTTGCCGCTAAATTATATCTCGCTAGTTCACGTGACAGTGCCTCCCGCACTGGAGAATGGCCGTTCGGCAAACACATTCGTTAATTTGTTTTGGCCGTATACAACGAATTCCACCTTGCTACGACAATCCCTCACTTGATCGACTTGCTGGGTCGATCCCCCACTTGATCGACGTGCTGGGTCGATCCCCACATGGTCGACTTGCTGAGTCTATCCCCCACTTGATCGACTTGCTGGGTCGATCCCCCACTTAATCGACTTGCTGGGTCGATCCTTCACTTGATCGAATTGCTGGGTCGATCCCCACTTGATTGACATGCTGGGTCGATCCCTCACTTGATCGACTTGCTAGGTCGATCCCCCACTTGATCGACTCTCAGGGTATTCCCGATTTGATAGACTTGTTGGGTCGATCCCCCACTTGATCGACTTGCTGGGTCGATCCCTCACTTGATCGACTTGCTGGTCGATCCGCCCACTTGATCGACTTGCTAGGTCGATCTCCTACTTGATCGACTTGCTGGGTTGATCCCCCACTTGATCGACTTGCTGGGTCGATCCCTACGTGATCGACTTGCTGGGTCGATCCCTACGTGATCGACTTGCTGGGTCGATCCCCCACTTAATCGACTTGCTGGGTCGGTCCCTTACCTGATAGACTTTCTGGGTCGATCCCCCACTTGATCGACTTGCTGGGTCGATCCCCTACTTGATCTACTAGCTGCTTCGATCCCCCACTTGATAGACTTGCTGGATCGACCCTTCACTTGATCGACTTGATGGGTCGATTTCTCACTTGAGCGATTGCCTAACATTTCTAGTTAAAAATTGGAATCAAAATTTTGGTAATGCATCAAACAATTTTAGAATGGTATTCGAAGGAAGACGGAAACATGTGAAAAAGTAGTTATGTACTAATATTACAGACCGTTTACCTAGGTCTGTAATAGTAGTATAGAATCTCTAGTTTGATATCCGTGGAAAAGTAGATTGAGATGCAAAGTGACGAACGCATAAGCCGAGTGTGTGGCATGCGTGTCCCGCAAGTACCGCCTCCTCCGTCCGTCCGTCGGGGCTGGCCGCACGACGCCGGGCCTGGCTGTGCCACCGCGCTGACAGGGCCCACAACGGGCGGGTGGGTGACGCAACGGCGCAGAAGGGGAAGTGGGGGGCGAGGTGTTTTCGTAAATTTCACTTTTCGTAAATTTCACGACACTCCTATTCGTCCGATGTGCATGATTGTCACGGCGTTCCATTCAGGAAGCTTGTCGCCATCGCGGTATAAGCCCACATTTTTTAAATTTAATCTCGGAAGTTTGAGAGCTAATTTCAAGTTCGCGTTTTTGTTAGATTTTTGGAAAAAGGTCATCGTAGTGTAAATTCTATTTTAAAAAGGCGTCAAATGCCGTTTACAAATCGAAAATAGGGGCATAGATTCAGACGTTATCAGTAAAGTAAATTCCCCTGTGATAGTGCAGCGATCTATTGAATTTTCCTACAAGTATTTTTCGGTGCATTTAGCCTAAATGCAACAAATGGTGAAAGCCTGAACTAGCTACAGATTCGTAGAGCGTGCCCATATGAGCATGCTATGCAGGTAAGGGTTAAAAATGGCTACTTTCTAATTTCTTGAAATAATACAGTAAATTACATTTATAAAGGCAAAATATAAAAGATTTTTACTGTTAACTCTACATTTTCGAAAATTGCAACCGTGTGAAACTTTTGGCCCCCTGAACCATGAAGACACTGAGGGCAGAAGACATTGAAGACTTTTTTTTCGAATAAAATTAGTTGTCTCCAGTTGGCCCTTTAATTCCTGTCGTGTATATTGTTTGGAAATAATATTGGTTTTGCCAACTATGAGCCATAATAAATATAGATAATACGATTTTAACAGAAATTTTCGTCAAACGTTTTGTCAAATTTTTTCTTCAAACATTTTGTCCGGATAGTGTTAAATACACTAAATAACGTGATATTAACGATATTTTGGTTATTTTGAGTTTTCAAAAAGTAAACAAATGTAAATGTACAATGCATTTGTAAGTTACAAGTGCTTCAAATGATGAAGAAACAACGACAAATCGGGTAACGTTCTCATCAGTCTTAAAAGTCATAAAGACATGTACAATTTTACAAATAGATGAAAATTTTCGCTGAGTTTGCTTGGAATATACGCATTTCAAAAACAAGATTTTCTCAAAAACTTTTCCGCCCCAAAATCGATTTTCAACCCCGTTTGTAGAAAAGTACCTTCTGGAAATGTTTTTTAACCTATCACATTAGAAAGAATGTTTTAAGATTCTACATATATTAATTTTATTACCAATCAAAGGCAAACAATGCCCAAAATATGGTAAAAAGTGCAGCAAAGTTGATGAAAACATGTTCAATAAAAAATATAGAGTGTGGTGGTGAATAGGTTTCTGAATATTTAAGTGAGAAAATTGATCACTCCACATCCAAATATTCAGAAATGTTTGGTCATCTTTTGCACCAAGAAAGACGATCTATAGTGCTATACATTAGTGTTCTACTTAATGTAAATGCTCCCAAAGAACATTAAAAAATTAAACTAAATATTAAAACAACAAAACATTAAAAAAATAAATTGTCTGATTACACCTCTATTGAAAATTTCTACCCGTGCAGAATCCTAACACTGCGGAGGGAGGAACCAGGAACAGGAAGTCCTTGGTTCGAATTCTGACGAGGCAAGTTTTCCACTCCGCTCAAGAATCTGGGTCAAAGTCAACGACTACCAAAATGAAATTCATCTACCTTTCCAACATTAAATTCAGAAAAAAATATTTTAATACTGAAAGTCGTTACAATCAAATAAAGAATAATCACTTTCATATTGAAATTGCAAAACACATCCTTTGAAATCCACGGCCTTGTCTTGCCCGAGACCCATCCCCACCCGTATGTCCTAGTTCTTTTCCATTCTCCGGAACCACTTAACTTACTCTCTGAACCTAATTCTCTCATTATTCATTCTTCTTCTCCTGTCGCCCCATGTACCAGACTTGTGCGCTTTCCTTTATAAACCCGTTAACTCATATTTTCAATGCTTCTATATGCACGGTCTAATTTCCAGATATTTTCAACACAGCAAAAATGAAGTCACTTTTAAAAAAGACAACAAAATGGAATTCAGGTTTAACGGCCAAGTTATCTTTTTTTCAATTTTCTCAACAATGTTAGAGACATTTTTTGTTTTCTCAAAAAAAAAAAAAAAAAAAAAAAAATTGAAGCATCTATGGCTTTCAACATGAATTTAAAAATTGAAAATCTACGGAACTGTCATTTTTCCCTCAAAGGTGTTGCTTCGTCAATGACTCAAAATGAAGCTCTTGTTAGGATACTTTTAGAGGTTTCGAAAGTTTTTTCCATCATTGATCATAACATTTTGCTTTCAAAATTACTTTCATATTGAATTCGTGGTAATGCCATTGATTCGGTATCCTCGTACCTTAAATATCAATTGCAAATAGTAGAAATACCGTACTGACACGAAAGGGCATTGTTTACTCATTCTTTACCAATTTACTTACCACTCATTACTCCAAATCTTTGCTACTTGAGCAAGAGGATTCACAGGGTTTGATCTTAGTCCCAATCCCCTACTCTTGCACTTAAACGATATGCCTTCGTCCATTGGAAAAGGAAGAACAGTTCGGTTCGGTGTTAAGACGAATACTCTCTGAAAACGAGAAACAATAAGAAGAATGATTTCAGATCTTTCAAATTAGTTTCGTATTAACGAATTAATTATAAACGAAAGAAAAACTGTTATAATACAGTCAAATCAAACCGCATGCATCACTAAAATGAAAATATGCAATTGGATGATGATAAGGCCACAAAATTTACAAGTATCTCTATTCAGTCAAACCTCAGAAATGGAATATCAACATTAGTGAATTGAAAACTAAATTAAGTTTATAATGTTATGCATTGCTTCTAATTACTACTAAATAAGTCAGCACCTCGTTGCGTGTATTTTGCCACATCCCTCCTGAGATATTGCATAATAATCTAGGGAGGCACATTCTATGGATTTCAGACCTATATATTGCAGATATTTTTGCCAAAAAATTAGAAAGTATCATTCCTGTGATTCTTGCTAGCGCTCTTCATTCGGCTTGGAATCACATCACTGCATTGACTATTAATTTACCAAACTGCAGCTCTTGTGAAAACTGACTTACATAACGGTGGGAACATATTTTCATGGCCTACTGATATTTATAATTACAGCGCACGTTGTAGAAATCATATTCATTAAGTGTCAGTATCAATAGCCCTCTACAAGAAATCCACAGACCACGTTCGTTATTTTACGACACATTGCCAGATGACATTAAACCATTAATATCCATACTACTATTAGAGACTATACTGACAATAAAAAAATAAAATTTACTTTAACAATGATTTATAATGCATTATTTAATGTTTGTACTGTATAATTTCAATAATAGTAATATGCCTGTAACAAGTAATATACTTCAGCTTCCAGGCCAATCTCGAACAGTGTTTGGCCCAGTTTCTGTGATCCAATGCTGAGATGGCCCAATGTTTTGCTTTTGGACATAAATGTAGCGTCACTATGCGCATGTTTTGTCGAGCTCGCGTTTTGCTTATGTTGTTGTACAAGAAAAGTCGGCGGTATTTGCAGCTGTTTTGTTAGTAATACTGTAAAATTAAATCTGTAGTTCCTTTACCGATGCAAGTCAGTTTTCTATAACACTGGTGCGAACGTTTTTTGTTTCTCATGTGTGGCTTTGTTGCTTTGTTGGTTCTATTATTCATCATTCAACTATGTGCAGTAAAATGATGGAGAAAATATTGTGAAAAACAAGAAAACGTGCGGAATTTGAACTTCTGTCATCACGTCCCGAACAGTTTTTACAGTTCTTTGACGAAAATCAATCGAAGCAAATCACGTTTCACGTTAAATTGAGAGCAGTCGATTAAAACAAAGATCGAGGAAGATAAAAAAGATAGAGGAAGAACGACACGGAGGGCGATGAAAAAAAGAAAGAAGAGAATATCGAATATTCTTTCTTGTTTTTTTTAATGGCTCTATAAACCATCATTTATCAAATGTTTTCCTGTTATTTAATTTCATTCCTATTCTTGTTTATCTTCTTTTTAAAGTGTTTTCTCTCCTTTTGAAAGTTTTTTGGTACAAGCTGATGTGATTGGTCTAAATCTGCTGTGGGTTTCTCTGATCATTTCCAGAAGGGTGCAAGTGTAGTACATTACACAATGATACACCATAATCTCTTCATTTTGTCATTCCCACACGTAGGGATTTGAGATAGGCTAATCCACCACCATATTATACAATTTATCATGATCGAGAATGATACCGACAGTACTACGAATATTTTAAATCAGGCTTCAACTGGACTGTAGAGCGGGGGTGACGCAAAAATAAAGAGCATGATCACGTGGGTACTTCTACAGCATCACTCTTAAATTTACATGCACTACACTACCACACATGTGGGGAGATCAATTGCAAGAGTAGTGCTTGTTCCGGTTGGGACGGCGCCCTCGCTGGAGGAGATACTTGTAGAGAGAAACGCAACCCGGCGCTGGTCTCACTCCCTAGCGGGGGAAGAACGCTGCTACCTTCCCAGCTACAACATGCGCTACATTTACGGGACTAACGACCTAAGTACTTGACGTGCCACCAAACACTCTCATTCATTTACCGAGGATTTTCTACCGGCTAAAGTGGTTCAGAGCATCAACTGACGTCATTGCAACGCCTCGGACTGGGAGGTCCTAGAGTTCGATTCCTGACGTTGGCAGGATTTTCAACACAAACTACGAAGCTAGGCCGAGTTCAGTCGCTCTCTGTAGGAGAATTCTAGCGACCGGCTGCTCTGATACGACATATGCCGTGGTTTCTGCTATCTACACCAGATGAATGCCGGAGCAGTAGCCTAACACACGGGCCACGGACCGCGCGCGATTTTACCTTCCTTGTCCTATCACCCCTTACACACACTTAACACTTACATGCAATACACTGCCACACAAGCCGGGAGACTGATCGGGAGCTTAGAGCTTGTTCCAGTCGCTGGTGGGAGATAACTGGTTAGGAAAAACCAGTTGGCCAACGGTAGGTCAGTGCCAGGTCTCCCCATCCATCGAGGAAGATCACCGCAACCTCACGTAATAAAATCATGCACTACACATACGGAACTAATGACCCAAGTAGTGGACGGGCCCCTAAACACGAAAGCCTCCCTCGTTTCTCGGAGATGTGCTCCTGCGTGCAACGGGGGG